TATAAAAAAAAAAAAAAAACAAAAAAAAAAAAAAAAAAAAAAAAAAAGACCAGAAACAATGAGATGTATTTCTCATTTTCTTTGAAGAAGCTGTCAGTCCATCACTGATAATTATACTTAAAGAATTTTTGTAGGTGCAAGACTTCACAGTGTCAAAAGCTCACTGCAGAACAACCAGATGGTCTTTTAGCTATATGCTTGAAGGTCCCAGTACATAATATTATATATAGCGTACACAGTGGGAGAAGATCACAAATTGCTCCTTTAATTGCCTTAGTACATTTTCTAGGAACAACTGACAAGATCAGTTCTTAGTGGCTATATTGAGTTTGGCTAGTTATATTCTTACCATGTGGTGACATGATTGGGATTTGTAATGAACTGTTGATATACTCCGTTGTTTAGGCTGTTGCTGTGTGGTGCTTGTACAGTGTTGTTTTCCAGAGACCTATACTGACCAAAGAGAGACACGAAGGAATAGAAATAGGAAGGGCTGTTTGGTCTTCTAAGGTAGCTGGTCAGAGTTTGGCCATCAGTTCTGCTTGTAATGAATGATCTGTCTTTGCATCACTGAGCCTTCGCCTCCATTTGCATCTTCTCTCCCTGCCACTTCTTCACTTACTGACTTGTCTTTATCTTGATTCACAAGTTTTCTCATATTCTGTCCTGTTCTTCTGAGGGTAGAGAGTGAGGTGGCACTCTTAGGTGTCCTGCTATGAGCTGGGTTCTACCCTCTGCCATCCTTTTAACATCTCTCTCTTCATTCTCCTTTTCATCTTTTATTGCTGAACATGATACCATTCAGTATGGAATATCCTTTCCGTCAGTTTGGCTCAGCTGTCCTGGCTGTGCCCCAACCCAGCATCACCAATCTCCCTCCCATTTGGCGGAGGGTGGATAGACCTGGAAACAAGAGGTAGGGCCTGAATGCTGAAACTATTGCTCAGTAATAGCCAAAACAAATGTTGTGCTACTATCACAGTGTTGTAGTCACAAATCCGAAACAAAATACTGTTAAGGCTGCAGTGAAGAAAAGTAACTGTATCCAAGCTGACCTAGCACTGGTGATTTTGCTGTGTTGGTGATGTTGCTGTGTCAGAAACTCTCAATGTAAAATCAGCAGTTACCAGCATGGAGCAACACTATCTTAGATGTGTCTGATTTGATCCTGTCTCTGAAACTGAGCAAGGTAAGGTTGGTTTGGAGACCCTGGAATGCCATGTCCAGGTGCTGTAGGCTTCTACAAAAGTGCAAAGTTTGGAACATACAGGCAGAGACTCAGAGAGCTGAGTTTGCTTTAACCTTGAGAAGGCCTCAGGGGATTTTACTTGAGTGCATCAGTACCTGATGAGAAAGAGCTCAGAAAACAGATCCAGGCTCTTACTGATGCTTTATAGCAGCAGGACAAGAGGCATTGAGCACAAAATGATATACAGGAAACTCCATTTAAATGTAAGGCAACTTCTTTTACTGAAAGAATGACTGAACACTGAAGCACACTGCCCAGAACGTTAGACAAACTGCTGACCAGGGTCCGAAGCGACCGGCCTTAGTTGACCTTGCTTTAAACTAGGTGGGCAGGACTAGGTAATCTCCAGAAGTGCCTTCCACATTCAGCAGGCCTGTGGAAGATTTTCATAAATGTTCAGTTATGTGATGTTGTTTATTTTAAATGATGTCAGTGTTTGTTTAATTTTAGAAAATGTGGTAGGAGATGAGTATCAGGCCATTTCTTCTGCCCTTTCCACCTATCTTCTTTACTAAATTCAGCCTACATGGCAGTTGAAGTTAAGGGTTTTTGTTTGTTACTTGTGATTCTGTTGCAGAGAAAGTCAGAAATGCTGACTCAACATTTTTAGAGTGAATTTGAGATTTAATTTCAGCGATGAGATAATCTGAAAATTGATTAGTTAATTGGAAATTATTTTTCTTTCCAGTTGATGAGTTAGTCTGTATTTTCAAAGTCTGACCATTATGGATCAAGTATGTTCATTCTTTTTCTTTACAACTTAACAATGTGTAGAGTGTTGTTGCTTATTCCTGCTTTCTGGATTCTTCATAATTTGAAATGTCAGCAATTGGGGTAACTCAATTTGCCCCTTAAGCATTACAAAATAAAAAGATACTGCTCGTGATGATGAGATACTGTTGAAATTGTCCAAGGAGCCAATTCTTGAAGAACAAGCTCTTGTGCAAAGCATTTTAAAATGTCTACTATAATGCAGTATTAAGATACATCTTTGCAATTGAATATCAAAACAAGTTTAATAATGATGTTGCTTATTTATATTTCCCTTATTTCTACTTACTTAATTCCTGTTTTTTTCCAGGTTGCTGTTTAATATTTGTATTTGTGTGATACATGAATACAGTGGTAATTTTCACAAACTGCAAAAATAAGTTAGAGCCACTCTTACCTTGGTTTTCAGTTTGTATTTGTCATTGTTTCTCTCCTAAGCCTTCCAACTTGTCTAAATTGGATAATTACAATGCAGACTTCTGAGGAGTGCTATTGATTATGTACTTCATTCAATATAAAAGCTGTGCAATTTCTAAATATAATCTCCTAAAAAAACCTTCTTTATTTTCTCCTCCTCTCCTAGAAATAAATTGATTTGATCAGTGCAGTATCTACAATCCCCCTTCCCTAGTTAGTAGAAGACTTTGAAAATTCTTGCTAATGAAATAACAATTTTCAGCCTGTTTGGAGAGCTGGTAATGCACATACACTATTTGAATATGGAAAAAACATTGGCATGTTAAGCAACAAAATATTTTTCAGAGTTCAGTGTAGTATTGGTATTCATAACATATTAATGGGATATATTGTATTAGTAAATTCTTGTTGCTACAAATGAGATTTTTGATATTTAATACCAATTTTAAAAACTGTAAGAATTTTTCTGTGATTTGAATGGAAAAGCAAATTCATAGGAAAAGCTAACAAGTTTAATATTAAAATCCTATTTTTCTTATTGAAACAGTATTGCTGACATCATTGAGCACTATAGGAAAGAACAAATTGTTGAAGGATATTACCTTAAAGATCCTGTTCCAATGCAGGTAAGATTTCATTTCTCAGCATTTGCTGAAGATCTGATCATCATCAAATCTATTTATAATATAAGAATGTGTGTTTCTTTTGTTTTATCTTTACATGCATTCACTTATCGAAAGTTTTCTTGTAGTCAACAGAAAATATGATAAGTTCTGCTTGTGCCCTGAAGTGTTCATCCTCTGATCTGTGCCCCCTGCTTTGGTCCATGGCTGAACAATGCTGTGATTTAATCTTGTGCTGGGGAAAACCATAATACACTCCAATCTATAGTGTCTGGTGTTCTTCTCCTCCCAGAGGAAACATTACAGTTGCAGGACTTATTTAGGAGTACTCTTGCCCTTTCACAGAAGGTCATTCTGTCCTGCAATTCTCCCTTAGTCAGCTCACTAAGTTAAGCATGTTGAAGCTATTTATTTCTCCTCACACCATTTCTTCTTATTGCTACTCTATTGTGACTTATTCCAGTACAAGCTCATCTGTTCTGGATATGATGGACGAGAACAGCCATATCATTAATATGAATGGTATCATGACATCGTATAAAATATTTTTTTTTACTTAAATATTTAAATAAAATAATTAACAAAAATTCTTTATATTCTATGATTCTGTGAATGGGTGGTGAGGCCCTCGTACAGCTGCCCGAAGAAGTTGTGAGAGCCCCATCCCTGGAGGTATTCAAGATCAGGTTGGATGGGGCCCTGGGCAGCCCATCTGCTGGGGGCAGCCCTATCCATGGCAGGGAGTTGGAATTGGATGGGCTTTAAGGTCCCCTCTACTGTAAGCCCTTGTATGTTGATTCTGTGATAACATCTGTGTCATTTTTTTGTGGTAGGCTGGCTCTAGTGAACAGCCAAGAGCCTGCAGAGCTGCTTGTGTATTCCCTTATCCCATGTAATGGGAGAGAGATTAGGAAGAGCACAACTTAAGAAAGAACAACTCCTGGGTTGAGACAAATTTGTAGCAAAGAACAGAAAAAAATACACAGTTCCTGTGATGCAAAGGCAATCACTCACCACTTCCTTCAAGCAGACTGTTGCCCAGCTGGTAGCTGAGCAACAGTTGGTCCAGAACACAAACAACAACTCCTGATTTAATGTCATTGAGATGTTAGATGGCATTCAGTTCCACTTCAGTTTGTTCAGGCCTGCTGTTTTAGCTGTGTCCATGCCCGGCTTCTTTTCCTTTCCCAGGCTCCTCACTGTGAGGTAAGTGACAGAGACTCCTTTGGTTCTGTGCAAGCACTGCTTAGCAGCAGACAAAACCCTGGTGTGTTCAACACTGTTTTGGCAAAATCTTCTGTTTTCTAGTGATAAATAGCAACACATACAGCTTCCATGCAGCATCATTCCAATCTTTCCTGTGTTGTTGATAGTCTCGTGCCACTGATGCTCCCCAATTGTTTGCTGCTATTAACTTAAGCTCAGTAACATGGTTGGAATAAGCAGCAAATGTGTATCTGGAGACTAATCATTCAAAGCTTCGCTAGTAACTTTCTTCATGGACTGTAACTTTTGGACTGTAGCATAAATTGTTAACAATCTTAGCTTGTTTTCATATGCATTTACAGTTCCTTTACTGATATTTTTTTTCTGTTAATTTTTCTTATTATAATTTTCCACGAGACTACTTTATATGCTTTTAAATTATTCATATTCGTGACTTAATTTTGTTTAAAAAGTGACCAGTGATGATTTTTTAGGTTTTGCTGTGTGTGGCCTTTGTTTCCTCTAATGTATTAGTCTATGTTCTATAAAAAATAAAGTTCAGAAGTCATGCTTACAGTTAGTGTGGGTGTGATGGACTTCCTGTGTCAATGGGAAGGTTGCTGTTCTTGCATAGTTACAGAAATCTTAAGGTCATAAACATCTTGATGTTGTTTCCATTGTGGGTCCTGCAATTCCTGTTAATACTACGAAAGTATTTTTCACCTTGGCTTTATTTCTTTGTTCAAAATTGTAATTCTTTATATAGCTAAGAGTAAAGTAAAATACTTATTGTCCAGCCAATGCTCATATAATTTTTCATCTGGACTTGACAGTCCAGTTTTTCATTTATCTTACGGCTAAAGACCTTTTACTGATCAGATTACTAGGAAAGGTCAAATTTGGCTTGGCTAACTGAAGGGGCACAGAATGTCTTTGGTCCATTTCCATTTGCTACTTGACTTTACGAATCTTAAAGCTTTGTGTGATTTATCCTTTTTCTGTTTCATGTTTCTTTCTTCTGTTGTCTTCTATTACAGTTCTACCCAGTTAGAACATATGAATTTCAATGATGTTAAAGAGGAAGTATGCAACTTAGTGAGCATGTCAATTTTAACTGTGATCTGCACCATTCTTGTAGCTTCAGAATAAATTTCTCTTATTATTCTGTCTGAAAACCTTGGGTGTGATTTTCAAGACTTTCACAAGTTTTACAGAATTTGCTGTGAGAGATGCTGCTTTCTATTTAATAAAAGGCACAGGTGGTACTTTGTAAACGTTGGTCTGTATTGGAGACTTCTTTGATAGTTCCATAGAAAACAGTTAATGCATTTCTAGCCAGGGTATTGTACTAAAATTTCATGCATTTTAATAAAGCAATGTATTACACAATACTAAGGAGTTTGTTAGTAAGATAACTTAGGTTGCAGCATTCAAAGTATGTGATTTTTTTTTTTTTTATAGCAATTACTGAACTTAAAATGTTTTCTTCTTTCTTTTCTAGCACCAAGAGCAAGTGTTCAATGATACACTAGATGGAAAAGAAATCTACAATACAATTCGTCGCAAAACTAAGGATGCTTTCTATAAAAATATTGTCAAAAAAGGCTATCTTCTGAAAAAAAGTGAGTCTTACTGAAGATTTTGTTGTGGAACAAACATGAATGCATGTTTAGTAACTTAATATATAAAACTGGTACTAGAAAGGGCATAATAGAAGTGAACAAGATGGAGAAAATGTGAAGAGTATGAAAAAGTCTGTTTCCTAAGCAGAGTGTGAAAAGCACGGTAACCAAAACTACATGCAGCATGAAGGTGATCAGCAGTTTTTCAGGAAAAATATGGAGTACGTTACATCTATTAGGAATGTTTGTCATGAATAGATTTCAAGCACATTAAATGATGTGTATTTTGAGGAAACAATTATATTTTATTTGAAGCTCATATTTTTGCAGACAGATTAGATTGAAGCTAGAAGGCTGTAAATCTGGTCACTGAAGATGGGAACTGTTTTGTTATTCCAGGGTAGATTGCCTAGTTTAAATTAAAAAAATGTATTTTTTTACCTATAAGATGCATAGGGACTTTTTTAGAGTTACAACCATGGTACCATCAAACAACGTGTAATGAGTACGTTAAAAGTTAATGGCTAGACTCACATTATTGTATCCCTGAAGAATTCAACAAGAATTGCACTTTGGTCAGAACAATGCCACACAGCACGTAAGCTTGGGACAGTGAGGCTGGAGAGTCACTGAGGACGTCTTTAAAGTTCTGAGGCAACTAATCCCTTAGAAAGTTTTTCAATTCTATTTTCTTTTTTTTTTTTTAATCAACAGTAATGAAAAGAGAAAAACTATTAATGGTGTGTTTTTTAGAGGAGAGGGAGTCCATAGCTAAAAGGGTAAGTTCAGATAGTAATGTAGATAGCAAGCAGAAAAAAAAAAAAGAGAAGAAAGGTATGATTTTAAATACAGCCAAATACAAAAGAGGAAAAAAAATCCACAAAGCCACAGTTTTTGGTCAGAACAAGGAAACTATTCTATTAAGAGAACTAGTTCTCAGAGATGTACAGGGCTGTGCTGGAATGAAGAATCAGATGAGAATTAAGTGAAAACCTTTTAGGTGAGAAAGAAAACAAAATACTTGAAAATGCAAACAGGAGTTGTAGATGTGGAGAGATGGCCACAGCCACGTGTGGAGCAAATGTAACGTAATCTCTCTGCCACCTAGCGGACAGTGTGGTAACTGGATGGTAGGGTCATGTTTTCAAAAGCATACTGCTGCTGTGGTGGATTTATCATATTCAAACTATAAAGATAAGTCTGCATTTTTTTTCTAACGCATACTGTGACTTATATATGAATTAGTTCCAGAAGTTCAGAGTTCAGGAGTAGCTCTCTCTTTCTAACGTCTGTTTCCTAATTAAAGGTTGTAATAAGTAGGATCAGAGAATCAGGACATAAACTGTTAACTATACAGATAGGGAGTCTTTATGGTCATATGAACACAGTGTCCCAGCAGCTCGTATGCACTTGCTTTTATCTTGTTGAAATTAAGATGTTTGAAGAACTTACTGCAACTGTATGTAAATCTGTGGTGATGGTGTAGGTTGAGGTCTGTGTTGCATAACATTGAGTATGCATACTGATATTCTGCTTTGTGTGATTGTCACATCCTGCCTGTAAGGGGAGGGAACTGATGACCAAATTTGCAAATGCTCCTGGTTAGATTAAGGTAAAATGATGCATAGAGGTCCGCATGCAATCATGAGTTTTCATGATAACCTACATGCTACAATTATCCCCAAAATACTGGCGAACAACTATCCCAAAATACTGACGCTCCAATACTTAGCAGGACAATTTAAGATGGACTCTAAACTGTATGGCATTAAGGAACCAAAATAATCCTGGAACTTAACAACTTTGACTTAACAACTGTATGAGATACAGCTTTTAAGAAATTGAAATAGATCTAGTGATTACTTAATAATTTTATGAGAGAAAAAGGATGAAAAGAAAAAACTGAGGAAAAGAGAGAAGGAATGAGAGTCAGGAAAAATTAACAGGAAAAAGAGGGGTCACCAGACTATTTAAAAGGTCTGTTTCAAAGAGTTCTGGTGTCAGCCTGTAGTGCTGGAGAAGGGATGGGGGGAGGGTGTGTGCACTTGTCCAGAGATTGTAGTTTTGAACCAGAAACAGTAATGACCACCAACAATATGAAGGTGATGACCCTTTGGGGACTCTCTCAGGTCTCTTTCGATGCCTGCTAGGTTTGCAGGTGCTTTGTCCCAAGATTGTAAACAAGAAAGTTTGCCAAAACAAAACTGCAAAAAACAAGTTTATAGATAAAATTTACTGTGGGAAGAAGGGCCAGTTTGTCAGAGAAGGATTTATCCCACCAGAGGACGGGCTATCATACTTGCTGACATCGGTCTTTGACTGGGTGCCATTGTAACATAATCAAGTACACCCCACTAGGTAAGAAAGTGTTTTTTGTTGATCTTTCACTGTGATTAGCATGTCATTGTAATAGTGGTTAGCTAAATGTCCTTCTATTTGACACTTGACAAAAACAAACTGCTCTGTTTTATCTTACTTTACAAAACTGATATTTTCTTTAAAACAATCATAACTTCTGGCTTTACTTTTTTACAGGTAAAGGAAAAAGATGGAAAAACTTGTACTTTATATTAGAGGGAAATGATGCCCAGCTTATTTATTTTGAAAGTGAAAAACGAGCCACAAAACCCAAAGGACTAATAGACCTTAGTGTGTGTTCCGTCTATGGAGTACATGACAGCTTGTTTGGCAGGTAGGATGCTGCCTCATAATTCTTGTATGTGCAGCAGGAGACTTGACTGCTAGTTTGAGACATGTACAATGCAAGTGAGATTTGTTGCCAGTGAGCTGGCTTGTATTGACTGCAACTGTTCATTCATACTCAGTTGGTAGTAACTGTTCCTAAACAAATTATAATCAATGATTTTAGTGTTTTAAGTTAAAGCTTTTTTATGAAGTGAGGTGTGGCAATTATTCAAACTTCTGCATTATTGTTTTTGAATATTTGAGCATAATAATTGTTCCATGTTTTGTGATAGATACATGCAAAATGATGAACTAATGCTGAGGGTTTTAACCAGTTAGAACCAAGAACTGACAAGATTAAGGATTTTATCAATTCTGAAATATCTGTGTACCTTTGATAGATATTTGAAAGTTGCCTTGGTTAGGCAGAGTTTGTAAAGTAGTTTTCTATTTAAGAAAAGTTTTTGTTAGAGCTATACTCAGAGACCATTTTTGCATGAAGTCTTATTTTACTGTAATTTTCATCAAACTATGCTAATTGCAAGGCAAGTGATTACTAACAAAGAAATTGAGAATAAATACTCTTTCTGATATTACTTGTTACTAGCAAGAAAGAGGTTATGTTTTTGCTTATTGATAGTTCATAATTCCACCAATTTGTACTTAATGCCATAGAAGAGCAGTATGAATACTTTCTACTGGAAGTTTCAGATAGAAAAACACATATACAGAAATTCCCATATCTAATTCAAGTGATTTGTAGCTAACAATACTATTAAAAAAACAACAATAAAAAAACTGTCAGATGTCTGAAACTGCTGGTGTTTCTTAAAGTACAAATATTTTGTTGTCTTATTCCAATGATTTTTTTTTACTCTTCTCAAAAATTCTGAAAATCCATGAAACTAACCATAATTAATAAACACTATTGAAATTTTCTGTATGTAAGTTAACAATTATGAAGGAAGCTTTAGTGTACATTTGTACAGTGTAACGAAGAACAGTTTGCTTAATGATTACCCCTTAAGAAGTACTCTGCTGTAAAATTGGGCAGTAAGTGGTTCTGAATGTGGGTAGAAAGAAATGCATGGTTGCATCAACTGTAGGAAGCTGATTGTGAGGAACTGTATAAAGTTCCTCCTGTACTTTAAGTTGCTGCTACTTGAAGAAGGAAAAAAAATAAAACAAGAAAAACAATCCCAAACTCTGTTTTTACCCTTTTCTCAGAAGGCTCAGTGAAGCTCGTAGATGTGCTGGTTTCTTTGAGGGTAGTGATGTAAATAGCCCTAGCTCTGGTTACTTCCTGCTCTTCCCCATCCTGTGACATGCACACAGTTCATCAGGCAGTGAAATGGATGGAGAGCAGAAGGCTGAAAAGGAAATGAGATTCTGTGTAATGTAGTGATTGGGACAGATAAGTTTCCTTAAACAAACTGGAAGGTTGTGAATGAAGTGTCATTTAAAATAGCTTGTAATTTAACACTTGGTAGTGTTTTTGACAAATGGGTGGTGATACAAAATGGCCAAGACACCGTAATTCCATGCAGAGATTTAGAGGTATGTATCAGATGATTGGTGTGTGACCCAATAAACGTTTTATTGGTCATGAGACCTGTGGGGCACAATCATGTAGGGGATTTCTTATGATAGCATTTCCTGAAATCCTGAAAGAACAAATCCTTAATGTGTCTTTAATTGCTTGGCAGCAAATGCTGAACCTTTGCTTGTCTTTAAAAGCTTGCGGGAATAGATCTTAGTGGCAAGTCTTTCATGTTCCAAGGTGATTACGTGTTGTCTTGACTGTAAGTCAGTATGCTCTTTTATATATATATTCTAACATTCAACAAGTCTCTAACTGCTCATAAACAAAACAGCTGTGCTATAATTTTCTTAAAAGTAACATGTTCAAGCAAAAATGCAATTTTGAAATACCTGAGAATATTTTCTGATAGTCTTTCCTGTCTATTTTGTGTTCAATGTTCCTTTCACAAAATGAGCAGAAAACTGTTAGTTCAGTGTAAATTTTGGCACAGAAGGATTAGAATCGTTCAGCTGAAAGGGACCTTCAGAGATCCTGGAGACTGACCACCTCAGGTCTAACCAGAAGTTAAAGCACATTACTGAGGGCGTTGTCCAAATGCTTCTTAAACAGACAGGCGTGGGGCATCCACCACTTCTGTAGGAAGCCTGTGCCTGGGAGTGTCTGACCACTCTCACGGTGTAAAGAAGCTATTCCTAATGTCCACTCTGAGATTAATAAGTGAAGGTGTTTGTAAATATTACAAAGATTAATAAAACTTTTTTGTTGTTCTGTTTATCTTTAAGGCCAAACTGTTTTCAGATAGTAGTTCAGCACTTTAGTGAAGAGCATTACATCTTTTACTTTGCAGGCGAAACTCCAGAACAAGCACAGGTGAGAGCTTTTGTTGGTAAATATAATTTTTAAAGTGATGTATTATTTTTTGTTGGCATTGCAGTGTTCAGCAATTCTTCAGTAGGAAGCAAGGGTACCATAAATGAGATAGTGGTTGAGCTTATATCAACAGGTGTTATGATACAGGAGTAGGAGGTCTAGGAGGGAAAATCTATTGTTGGGAATCCAGTACCTATATTACTTGCACTTGGGGATTTGTACTTTGGACAAGTTCCGGTTCTGTGGAATGAACTTAGGTTATATTCTTTTGTACATTTTGCAGAACACAACTTCTGGCATAATTCAGTTCAGAAAAATAATTTGCTCTCCAACACTTTTCCTTCAAGAGTATTTTCCTGATGTGAAATAAAACAATAGCACATCTGTGTGTGCTGTGACCAAATTAGAAGGGATAGCTATCTTCCACAGTTTTCCTGTTCCTGAATCAGTAATTTTTCATAGTTTTGGGCCCTGATTGTGCATGAGAAGCGATGTGATTGTATAGAGCTTAGTGCTCTAAAATCCTCTTACCAGCAGGAGAGTGTAAGTTGAGGCAGTGCTCTTATTTATTAAGGTTACAATTTTGAAATGTACATGTTGCATCAGAAGTTAGGCTTTCCATTTGGTTTAATTTGAGTGGAATTAAAGCTTTTCAAAGTAGTACTTAAAGTAGGCCGTATACATTCAATATTTTTGTAGAGCTGTATACACAGGAAAGAACACATTTTCTTGTTGAACTGTCAAAAGTTTATGAAAGTCACTGGGATAACATCTGAATATTGCACTGATGTTTATCACACAGCTGTCAGTGTATCATCTCTGAGAAGCAGCATGCGGTCATTGAGAGTATGTCCATTAATTTCTACAACCATGAACATGCAGGTTCATTTTTGCCATGTCCAGTGTCTTGTGAGTTCTAGAAATTAAAAGAATGTGTAGAAAGCAGAACACATGCCTTATTCCCCAAGTGGCTTGATTTAATCTACTTCTGATTCTGATCGATCTAACACACTGCTCACTGTATTCTTTACAAAGTACAGTTCTGTTAATGATACGGTTTTGGTTCATGCACATCAGCTCTCATTTAGTTCTGTTCTGAGAAGATCACGATTTTTTTTTAGTCAAACATTTTATAGAGGACTAAGTTTTCTACATATTAAGGAAAAAAAACGATTTTTTTTTATAGTGTAAATAGATATAAAAGCAGCCATCTTATGGAATGGGCCACATGTTGTCCTTGTTTCTTTGTTAGAAGAATGGTGCTATTGGTGCATTGTTCTCACTGCTGTCAGTTTTAGCATTTAAGAAGATAGGTTTTCCTGTAGTGATTGAGTTTAGGGATGCACTGTGCATCTACAAAACATTTACTGGTTCGCTGTGTTTAGGAGGGCTTTGGCTCTCTCATTGCTACTACTTTAGAATAAAGGAACAAGCCACTAAAACTTCGTGCTGCACACCTGGAAGCTTTTCCTTCTGTGGAAGGCTTGGAAAGTTGAAGCCTGACTCAAAGTAGTCTAGCTAAGAACGGCTGCGGTAGATGATGCTCCTGTATTGTTTTTTAATATGTGGAATTAATATGTGGAATAATAATAATGTGTTTTTTTAATATGTGGAATAATATGTGGAATGTGCAGTGAAGAAGATTCAAACAATATTGTGGGTTTTTTTAATGACACTGTTAAATTATACTTCGGGGATAATTGGCGGCAGATCTTTGAGGTAGACTTTAGAATGCAACTGATCAGAACCTACGTTTTGAGCTTTGCAACAGCAATGGAGAACATGATGGCTGTGGGACAGAAACAAGAGAAAGCAGCTACACCTTTTCTCCTATCTTCTAAAGCTAAGACTCCCATACAAAACTCTTATGTTAGGAAGTTTCTTCAACTTTTTCGGAGGTGGTCTGGTGAGGTGATGGTGCCTCTTAGCAGCTTATTTGTATAATAATGGAAAAATAAGCACCAATTTTCTTCAGTTTGCTCCTAGGTGGCCTATTCATTTTCTATATTAAAGTGGATTCCATCCATCCATTCTACTACATCAGGCTATGAGAAGACAAAAGGAGGATGTAGGATATCCTTCTTTTGTGTTTTTCTGTTAACATTGTTTAGTTTACATTGGAATTATATGCAGTATTATGACAGGAATACAGATAAAATTGAGAGGAAAAAAACAGCATAGTTGGTCTTGTTAACTTATTTTTTCAGAAGTAAGCAGGATTTGCTTCATTTTATATGCCATTTACAGTTTAACGTGATGTTACTAGACTGGAAACTCGTTAAAGGTTGCACTGTCTGTGTATATCCAATTAACAGTGTTTGATATTTCCAAAAAAGACATTGCTTCTGATTTGCTAATCATTAATTTTTATTTACTTATTGAAGATAATTTTGCTTTATTATTCAAATTTAGATATTTGGAGTGGCATAAAAATTGTAGCTGAGGAATAATTAAGATATTTAATGTACCCTTTGAGACGTCTAGTCCCCTGCAAGAAGCTGTACCTGACTTTGCCTTATTATGCTATTCTGCATCCTTCTCTTTTAGGACTGGATGAAAGCTTTGCAGATGTTTTGCAGTTTAAGAAAAACCAGTCCAGGAACATCAAACAAACGCCTACGCCAGGTGAAGCTGTACAGATGTTAAGGGGTTTTGCTTTATTGGGGTTAAAGTTCTATGCTGTGCAGATATATTGACAAATAAATCTTCCTTTCAGTATTAGTAAGTTCTGCACATTCTTACTTTCCTTTTCGGAGTTATGCAGAACCAGAATGATTTCAGTTTTGTTACCTGTATGCATAAAGAACAGTGTTTTTATGTAATCTGTAGATACTATGCTAGATAGTAATTTCTGATGTCATATAACTGGGATAAAGTCAGCTTTTCTTTATCTGTTTAACTTAATATTCTAAATTGTGAGACACCTAAACAAACAAACAAAAAAAAACAAAAAAAAACCAGAAAAAACCATACAGACTTCAAATCATCTTTTGTGTGATGTAAACAAAATGTTTGTTCAAATATTGTGAACAGAATGCTTGTTCAAATACTGTTACTCATTTTTTTAGTAACTGGTGCATGCTGAGCCGTGCTTTTGGCTTAAAATTTCTTGGCCTCTAGAAAGTGCTGCTTTGGCCTCAGTTGTCACAGAGGTTGGAGGACTGATGGTCAGTTATGACCAAATCTGTAATCATTGCAAAGTTATGTATGTACTTCAACAATCCCTGATAATTCTGAATGTTGGGAACAGTGAATGTAATTACTGTGGAAAAATAAATGCATTTTCCAGGACACACGGAATTATTCTGTAGTTAGTATTAAAGAAGATTAAATGCTTCTGAAGAAAATAACTGTGTTAAGTGAATTGGTAGGTGAAATTGGAGGCTTGCAAGCTGCAGAAGCTAAGCAAGAAGGGTGGCATTTTAAACTAATTCTGTCCCTCAAAATACAGTTTTTTTCTGCATAAAGGTGAAGAATAGAAGAAAAGTGAAAAACATAAGTATGAATCATCAAGACAGGAAAAAAACAAACACCTCCATTTGGAGGAAAATTACAGAAATTATATCAGGAAGCAGAGTTTGAGAAACGTGCTTCATCAGTTACTTTGTATTGCACGCTTGTGAAGTGTGATGGAAAGTAAAGCCTTGCTAGTGTTTATTATAGTGACTTTTATGGCATGGTCAGTCTTCTGAGGGAATATACAAACACTATTGTGAATTCTTACAGTTTTTTTAACTGTCCTTCAAAACTTGTATTGCTGAATATTTGAATTTGAATGAAATGTTGACCGAATTAAATGCAGTAATTCGTGTTCTTACTATATTTAGTTGGTATCAGCTGGTATCAGTACATGTTGGATTGAGCTGTGAATTACACGTTGTTTGGAATTTTGTAGAAAAGTAGATCAAAATATCTTCCTTGATATGAGTAAGATCTCAGAAAGTTCACTTCTCATTGTTTGGAAACGTGGGGTTACCAATTGCTGTAGTCTTGAGAGTCCATATTACGGACCAAGTGTTTTCAGTTTAGGGGGAAAACTGGTTATAATGTGTTGCATAACAAGAGTTTTGTGTGATCCATTGGAACAGCACAGGGTAAGCCATTCTGCTTAGAATCATCTGTGATTTTACTCAAGATGCCAGGTTTTGGTTTCTGGAGAATTTTCTGTGTGTAGAAAAGTTAGCATTTACAAATCCTAGTGTTTGTTAGAGATAAGTTAAATAAAAACCATCACCACTAACAAAAACAAATAGGTTACATTAAAAATATGGTGCCAGAGATTTGTTTTCAGTAGATACTGCTCTTATTTTGTCACTGGTACTTGTTAAAATATTGATCCATTACATCTGTTCCTTGCCCTTTCTATTAGGAAGTAATAGTTTGTGATCACTACTCATAAGTTAACATTAAGCCTCCACATAGAGGAAGAAAAAATTCATATTTTTAATGTTTCTGTTCCAGAAAAAAAGGAGTAATTTTATTCTTTTTTTTTTTTTTTTTTCAGGTCAGCAGTCTTATTTTGCATGTAGAAGAAGCTCATACGCTCCCAATAAAGCATTTTACTAATCCATATTGTAACATCTACCTGAACAGTGTTCAGGTAGCAAAAACACATATCAGGGAAGGGCAGAACCCTGTGTGGTCAGAAGAATTTGTTTTTGAGTAAGTCTTACTCTTCTCCAGTTCTGCTAAGATGCTTTGCATTTAAGATCATTAGCAGTCTCCTGTTTTGCTTGTGCTTTTAAAAGTACTGTGTGTGTGGTTAAAGACCAGCAGCTTTTTATCCATAAATGTGTGAGCAGATTTTCTGTAGGCAGCTAAATATCTTTGTTAATGTTTATCTTTGTCTGTAAATGGAGTTCAGGTTTGAAATGAGTTTATTTAAAATTAAATGCCAGCCAACTGTAAGTATTAATTGAGGCTTTCTGTCTTTTCTCCTAGTGATCTTTCATCTGATATTAATAGATTTGAGATAAGTCTTAGTAACAAAACAAAGAAAAGTAAAGATCCAGATATATGTAAGTATTTTTCTGTAAAAGTTGCATATGTATTGCAGCAGTGGATTATTTCTGCAGTTTTTATGGCTCTTGTGAAACGTTATCACAAGAGAATTAAGTGTATTTTTATACCTACCACTCTACTATTTGTATGTTTTGGATGTCTGTTAATGGTTTTGCATTCATGTTTTTACAATGAGAACTTGCATGGTTTTTAGTACTGAGATACACAGTAATCCAGTCCTAAGTATCTCCTGGCTTTGCTAGCTGTTCTTTAGAATCATCATTATGTGATGCAGTGACTGTGCTTACAAAAAGGGAAGATCAAAAGAGAATCTATCAGTAATAGTCCTCTCAGTTTTACTGTGTCACTGAGTTAACTTATTTGAGCTGTTTTAAGTATGCATGTATGCAATTCCTCATTAATATTTTTGTTGTATTTACTGGGAACGAGGTAAGGGAGCAAATGTGTTACTTCATTTAAAAATGAATCAAAAACATCCTGAGAGTCTCTGGAAAATTTGCCATTTTCTTTGTTTCGCATCATCTCCATTCTTTCCTGGCATGACTTTTAGGCTTGAACCTGAAATTACCTCAGTATCACTTCAAGAAAGAATCCATAGGTTCTTCCACTTTTTACATGAGTTCACAAGATTTTTTTTCTCTTCCTATTAACTAGACAACTGCATCTTCAGTAGTTGATTTGTTTCTGTGTATTTCAGCAGGTTAGTAGCAAGCTAGTAAGGCAACATCAGCTTTCTAGGAAGAAAGGACTCATTTTGAAAAGCATGACTTCTGAGCTCTTCTATATTAAAAAACAAAAGGAGATTATGTTCAATTCCCTTCACACATAATATATTTCAAACCTCTTTTCCTAGTAAAACTATCACTTGCTGTTTTGCTTCTCTAAGAGCTTCAGCCCCACCCTCCTTGTTTGTTGCCTGCAGTGCAGCACTACCTCACCCACCCTCAGTTTGTTCCAAGAATTACTCTTTTCCATTGTGTTCAGACCTGCCTTTAAAGCCTGGCAGAGTACTTAGTCTATTGCAGTTGTTGCAGTTTGCATATATTGTGTTAGTAGCCTGTTATCTATGTCTCTGTTAATTTTGTGATTTTTTTCAGAGAAGAGATTTAGAAACTGTGATCAAAGTAGAATTACTACTCAGATTGAGTGCTCTTGTAGAACTCAATTCCAGAGTGCAATTCCAAAACTTTGTCCTTCCTCTGACTAGAAAAATTCTCATATAATAGGAGGAAAAATGATGTCCCTCTGACGCACAGAACGCCTTTAATCATGGTTCATGTTCTTGCACTCTTCTTATATTTGCTTGAGTAGAAAAAATATCTGGCTACCCCAGTGGTTCAGTCAGTACAGGAACCACTGCAATGATAATTTGTGAATTGAATGTTTCAATTTCTTTTAAATTGTTTTTGTCATTTCCTTCTTTGTCCAGATTAAGGAGATTATTGGCTTTGGATGCATCCAGCTGCTGGAAGGTGATAGGAAGTTTAATTAGGGGTAGAGTTACTTAGCTCCCCTCACAGCATAACTCAACAGTAATTTAATTTGGGGACAAGGATTAGACAAAGTCAAGTTGAATTAGTATGCATCTCTGCCCTATTATAAATGGAAATAAATGAGCAATACCAGATTTTATCTAACAGACCAGGATGCATTGCCTGAATAACACCTGAACTCTCCAAAAGCAAGAAAATTCATTTCTTCCACAAATATTTTGCTTCCCAGCTGCAGTTGCTAAATGTGGATTGCCCTGAAATGGGAACCATGTGACTCTGGTACTGTTCTTCTTCCCCATTATTTGGTTAAGTCAGCTTTCCTGCTTGTTGCTTCTGCTGTAGTAAGCAGATTGAAGGCCCACTAATACGTATGGGTCTCACTGTTTTCATTTCTTCCACCATTTCTTTCATTTTAAATACTAAAATAAGAGCATGAAGGCTGGTTTTTGGTATTTTAAAATGTTTTGTGAATTCTCAAGTTTTTGACTTGGATGCTTGTCTGCTAAAAGTAATCAGTAATTATTGTAAAATGCTTTTACAAGGTGGGAATATTACGAGTTTAACTAAGGAGTTTGGTATCATTTCTGCTTAAACCTTTTCTCTTTATTTCTCTACCAAAGAGGATCTAAGTAACTTGTACAATGATTTATTTGCATAGGCATATATCAATGTCTTAAAAACAAACATGAAAAAAATTCAATTAAGTCCTAATATTTAGACTTTGTTTACTGCTTCTGAAAACTGGGATGCTCAAGTTTGATTGGACAATTGAAGCAATCAGTCTGCCAGGGCAGTACTACACAGTATTGAACTGTAGTGGAAGTTCTGGTTTGGTTTAGCACCACAATATTTGGTTAATTTCATTTAGTTAATGGAGGAAAAACTGAATATTTTTTATAAAGGAGGAGGTCAGCACTTGCGGGCACGTCTGTAAAACACTGTATTAGCCTTTGTTTTTCTTCTGAGCGTGGTTCGTATTTGCAGAAGTGCCACAGGTTGGTTTTGAAGCTGGTAGTTTAGGTTTTGCAGCTGCAGCCAGGTGGAAAAAAGTCACTGTGGTGCCACAGAATTGGCAAATGTACGCTGGGAAGTTATGTCTGCTCTGGCAGGCTAGGGGCTCCTCTGTTGTTCAGGCAATATTGCAATTACAAAATACTACTGTAGCCACTGGAAAAAATAAATACATTATTCTAGATCCTGTATTTCACTGTCTCTATCAGTGTGCCAGTGTATGACACATGCCATATGTTTGCAACCAAAGAAACCAAACACATTGCTTAGCTGCAGTGTGTAAGATTTGATGGGAAGAAGTATTCTTGTAAAGTTGATTAGTGGGATTGTGGTCCCATCCATTCTGGTAATAAGTAGAAGATGGAAGAATTATTTTTCCAGCTATTTAACTGACATGAATGAATTATCTTACAGGAGTTTATCAGCTCCAAAGAGCATGAAGTAGTAGGCAACTGATGTGCCCTGAAGTGAGCATTACGAATGTGGTGCTATTCTATTGGGGTATCAGGTGATTACCTGATAACATTGCAATACTGAGGCAATGGAAAATCTGCTAGAACTGCTGACAATTTCTGGAAGACTTGACTTTGCAGTAATGGAATTTAAAAAGAAAAAAATTTTTTGGAGTATTGTAATTTCAGTAGTGTTACTGTAATAAAAGTAAAAACAAAGTGGTGAGGAAGTAGGCCTGATGATGGTATCAGCCCAAGACTGGTTAAAAAAAAAATCACAGTGATTTCTGAATACTTTATCTGCTTTTATTTTCTGATGGCTGCTGGGAATTGCAAGGTAGCACTTAACTTATCTGCTGCTTGGGTGTTACAAAGGAAACAGCATCCGTATCTGTGTGGCATTCTTGAATGCATGTTTATGCATTACTCACAGACTGCTTTGTGTTTCCACTTCACAGGAATATTCTAAATCTGAATATAGTGAATAGAGAGCCTGCTAATTTATTGATGGCAAAAGTCTTGATTGCTATTATTAATACCCTTGGTGAAGCAAGATGGCATGTGATGAAAATAGTTATTTTATTTGATATGAACAACTTGATATATTTTGCTGGAGGTAAATTAATTGAATAATGCTTTTTTCCTGAAGTATTTATGCGCTGCCAATTAAGCCGATTACAAAAAGGACATGCAACAGATGAGTGGTTTCAACTCAGTTCCCATGTACCATTAAAGGGTATTGAGCCAGGATCTCTGCGTGTTCGAGCACGATATTCTATGGAGAAGATCATGCCAGAAGAGGAATACAGTGAGTTTAAAGAGGTATAAAAATGTTCAACTTTCCTTAATTCACCTGTCAAAACTCACTTTGTTATTTGAGACAAATTTTGAAAACAGTGCTTGACACAGTTTAATTATATTTATAGTGACATCTATTTTACTATAGATATATGGCACCAGTTTCTACTGAATAGTTACATAAGTTTCTGAATTTTATAAATTCATTCTTTTTCTTTCAGCTTATACTCCAGAAAGAACTTCATGTAGTCTATGCCTTATCACATGTTTGTGGACAGGACAGAACACTGTTGGCTGGCATTTTACTGAAGATTTTTCTTCATGAAAAGCTTGAGTCCTTGTTGTTACGAACACTAAATGACAGGGAAATAAGCATGGAAGGTATTGTTCTATTTACACTGAAATTTACTGAAACTGTGGGCAGGTAGGGAGGAGAGGGCTGTGGTGTCTTACTTTTTGTCATCTTTATTTACAACATACAGTTGTGAGCAGCAGTTTTTCTTCTTCTCTGCTCTTTATTGTCTCATTTTCTCAACCTTTTAATTCACTCTTTTTTTTTTTCCTTCTTCTTTCAGATGAAGCTACTACCTTGTTTCGTGCTACCACTTTAGCAAGTACACTTATGGAGCAGTATATGAAAGCCACTGCAACGCGTTTTGTTCACCATGCACTGAAAGACTCTATATTAAAGATAATGGAGAGCAAGCAGTCCTGTGAGGTGATAGCTTGAACTATGTTTGTGAACATCTTGGTTTGTTGAGACAGTTATCTACTGACTGTTATATTTTATGCTTGGATTAAATGTTATCTTTAGAGATATTCATTTATCTCTCAGAACAAAACTCCATTTATGCAATTAATACAGGATCTAAATTCATTTTTTTCTAGTGTTGCCGTGAGCAGTGTTCATGATAGCGATTCTGAAGTGCTGAATTTTTAAATTCACAACTTTCAAGTTAGGTATTTACTCTGTAGCTAACAGAAGTTGTTCTGCAGCAGTTACTGAGCAACATGACCTGAATAACTTCCAGTAAGCACAAGATGTCACGCAGGTCAATTTCTGAACTTCAGTTCTGATTTTAAACTCCCTGATGCTGCTTATTGATCTTGCTGATTTTTGGGGGGAGGTTTCAGGGTAGGGTTGGAGGGGAGGGGATTTATTTATTTATTTATTTTAAATTATTCTCCTAACTTCTGTGTTTTCCTGCAACTTCATTGTGGAAAGGATGGGGGTCCTCAGAATTCTGAGTTAAAAAGATACAAAAGGGTCATGTGAATGGGCAGTGTGGAATATCCTAAGTATTAAAGGCGTAACATACTAGAACCTCTGCTGCTCTTGATTTCCTGTGTAGCCACTGAAGCAGATGAGTTCTGTAGGAGTCTGAGATTTCTACTGTAGCAGCATTTTTAATTTACTTCAAAGAAGTCTTCGTTGTGTAGTATTATGAAGCTGTGTTGTTCTGGTAGGAGTGGAAGCCTAATCATTTTCTCTTTTTAGTTGAATCCTTCAAAACTAGAGAAGAATGAAGATGTTAACACTAATTTGGCACATCTACTCAGTATACTTTCAGAATTGGTAGAGAAAATATTCATGGCTGCAGAAATACTGCCTCCGTAAGTTGGCACTTTTCTGATTTGTATTTGAAAATTCCTGCTTATGTGGTTTACATTGCACCTTAAAATGGTATTTTTATGGGATCACCTTCTGCTAATCAATCACAAGACTGTTCAGAGTTGGTAGGGTCTTCAGGATAATTTGTACAGTGGAATACAGAAGGATTTAAAACCAACATTTTCAGGTATAAATAGTGCCTTTTTACAAAAGCTTCTTGCTTTTCAGGGAAAGAAGCATAAAGATAATCAGTATTTTGTATCCTGAAAGAGTGTAGAAAACAATTTTAATTAACTTTAATTTAAAAAAGTTTAACTTTAAATTTTAATTAATTTTAATTTTAATTTAACAAGTTCTTATAATTCCTCTTCTGGGGAAGAGAGACAGAATTATTAACAGTACATCAAAAATATAAGCAGAGTATTAGTCTGCTGTGCTATGATTATTTCTATCAAGGAAGTGCAGAGGTTAATTTTTTTCCTTTTTAAGTGCCAATGCAACCTCTGTGTTCTTATCTTAGATCTGAGCCATCTAAAAAGAACTTGATAGTACTAACAGTTCTCTTCCATTTGCATTCAAAAATGTAAACAAACTCTTTAATAGTAGATAACAGAAATGTTTGTTTTCTGGTAGTGCTGGCAAGGTTAAAAGGTGTGTTCCTTTTAATTTATGTGATGCAGTTCTAAACACATGGAAACACGTGGAAAGTGCCACAGTTAATATTGGAGAGGAGAAATTTTGTAGTTGCTTAGACACTTAACTATTAAAACGTAACCCTCATTTATGGAAAGAAAAGTTGCTACTGAGTTAAAAGTAAAAAATAAATCCAAACATCAAATTTGTACTTTTTTAATAAACATAGGTTTTTAAAAAAACATGAAACGTTAAATGCACATTTAATGTTACCTACATGAATAGAACTATGCATCATTGAAAACATTTTCCTAGTTTATAAATCTACTTTTTAATGAACAATTATAAGCTGAGTTTTTACAGATTTATTAACTTAGAAATTTTTAATTAATTTAAATGTCTAAATAGTAGACTTGGAATTGATAACATTTGTGTATCAAGTAGGCAGTTGGACAGGATCCTTTCTGACTAGATTTTTTTTATTCTCCAATCTTATCTGATGAGTAATTAGCTACCATTTTTACAGGACACTGAGGTATATTTATGGGTGCTTGCAGAAGTCTGTTCAAAACAAGTGGCCTGCTAATACAACCATGAGAACCAGAGTTGTTAGGTAAGCTGTGTGTTACTGTGTTGAAAGTAATCTTTTAATGTCTTACCTCTAACAAGCTTCAGTGTGCTTAATCTATTTTTCTTTGTGACAAAACTTCATAATACTTACATAGATAATGACATTGAAGATAATTAAGATACTGAGGCATGATATCCCAATTAAGGATTATGAGCTTGCAAGAAGCACATTCATAGACTTTTGCAGAATAAGATGTAGCACAGAGGTCAGGATGGCTTTACGTAATAGTTTTAACTTCAAATTTACTTGCATTATGTTAAGTTTTACGACTTAAATAATGATTCCCATTTTCATGCGGGGGAGTGAGCGGGGAAAAAAGAAAACTTCTCTCAAAGCAATATTTAGCCTTTGTAATACCTGTAGAGAGTAATATCTTCTGGAGATTGTGATCCTGTCATATGCCACCTGAGAAGACATTATTCAGCTACACTTATGTAAGCATATGTTGATTATTGGAGAAAACCTACAAAAGTTAGGGTCGCTGCCCCTTAAAATGCAGAACCAGCATGGTGTGAAATCTTCTCATAAAGGTAATCCAAGTGTCATTAGGCTTCACTGAGCTACTGTCTGTATTGCAGTATTTAGTTTACTGCATCAGCGAGAGCTCCCAGTTGCTGGTGCTGCATGATCTGATGCCAGTCACTCTTATTAACAGTGTTGGCTTCTGAAACCATGCAATTCTATACTGTATTAGGATCCCTCATTTCTCTGTTCCAGCCTTGCCACATTGGAACATATCCAACTTGACTCCTCTGAAGTTACACTGGGTACAAAAACTCTAATCTGTATTCATAATCCAAAGCCATATACAAGTCCTTCCTCTGACTACCTATTGCCAGTCCAAAAAAAAGATGTGACCTTGACAGTCTGTTCCTAGATGTTAGTGTTTGAGGTTTTGGGCAAGTCCCATCCTGCACTTTCCTCCCTCCCCCGGTATCTGGCAATCATGATTTGCTGAGGTTAGATTTTCCTCCTGTTGGGGATTTTCAGAAGATTTGTATTTTGGCCCTTTTTTTTCTTTTTAAATCATTTTGACACTAATAGCTGTGGCTTACAGAATTGGGGGTACTATGCTAGCTAGGGCTTTGCCTTCAAATCAGAGCTGCTCCTATTAGGAGAGTCCCACTTATTCTGAAGACCTTGGATAGTTGCAACTTCTTACTAGACTGTTGCAACCTTTTATGAAGGAAGCTGTTTTATAAGACTAATTTTTAGATGTCTGAATAGTGTATCAGCTACCTCATTGAAAAAATGTTGCCATTTCTACCTGATTTCCAAAACTCCATGTCAGTATTCATTATTATATTATCCGTTATTTCAGGACTCCACATCAGACTCGTTATTAACACAGGGTGAAAGAGTAAGAACCCCCAAGTATTCTGTATTAGCAGGATTCATACCTCACAGGTCTTCAATGGTAGGCACTTAGGAGAGATTGGTCTGTATTCCATGATTTCCAGATTGCATACTTTCTCATATCTTTATATTCACACCATAGACAATTATTTTTTTTTTTTTTTTGCTCCACTGAGGTTCAGGACAGTTGTTTTACCAGCCCATAATTTGTGGTTCTTGGAGGAAAAAGAAACTTCCTTACAAGTATATATTAGAACTCAGATGCCTTGGGCATATGGAAGATATGCTAACGTTACCAATAACCCATGCATCATTTCCAAATAATATGAATGTTAGTCACTCTGCACTCAACAGCAAACAAGGCTGTGTGACATCCCCTTCCCTTCCTTGTCAGTTAAGGTTTTGTTATCGTTACAGTGAAAAACAGTCTGCTGGTCCAAGCAAAATGAAGCATGATGTAAATCACCTTAGCTGGTCTTTATGTAACTTCCTCTTACAGCAGTTAGTAAGAATTAAGGTTGACATGAATTAGATGTATTTTACTTCTGCTTTTGAAGAAAATTAGATTTTTCTCAACATAGTTGAAAGTTGCTTTATCTTGAATGATACTTTTCTTCAGCTTCCTAAGCGGCAGCATTTAGTTCTGGGAGGAACACAGCAAATCCCATGCTATTCTTCTACTACAGCATACTGTCATCAGGATTTGGATCTGCTTAGCTGTGTTGCTGCCAAAAGAGAGCTTTCCTTCTGCCCTTGTACTCCTGCAACACTTACATTGGTTGGGGGAGTCAAAGGCTGCATGATTATGCCTTCTTTAGAAAACTGGAAAACCTCTGGATGGTAGAGGACCAGGGACTTATTCTTTTTGAAGCCAGTGTGGTCTTGGCTTCATAGTGACGTCACAGTCAAGTTCTTCCCAGTTGGTTTCAGCAATCCACCTTAATTGGGAAATCAGTATGCCTCCTCTTCCAGTTTTTTGGTAGCTGAAGTCATACCAAGACATTCCTAATTAACAACCATATTCCCAAAGTGCAGGCTGATTTGTTGTTGTTTGTCTCAAAAAGATTTCCACATTAACTTGAACTGTTCAAGATTACACAATTTTACGTTAATATTACTATTAAACAAAATACAAATTTCTTTCAATTTCAGTGGCTTTGTTTTTCTCCGACTGATTTGTCCTGCTATCCTGAACCCAAGGATGTTTAATATCATCTCAGGTGACTATATGCTTCAGATCAATTTCATGCATTGTATACTAATAGACATGGATTTACTTTAGTGTCTAACGTAGCAAATTAGGAAGTTATTGAAGAGTGTCCAAACTCATGTAATCCACATCACTTCATGTCTTTCCCTAAGCATGTGCTTTTCACCCTCAAAGATTAGATGGTTTTTATCTCTAGTGTCTCATTTTAAACCCCAGAAGAATGTGTTGCTGAATTTAATAACATGTTGTGGAGTTGAAGTCTAGCAATGTGCAGTGTATTCTAGAAGTGTGGAAAAATTAAACGTGTGATCTTCAGGTTTCACTTTGAATACAATGCAGCACTGAACTTCATGGCTGAACTTCATGATATGTTTTATGTGAAAAAGATCTATAGAGTTGACATGTAGAGTCTGTGGAGAGCTATGCAAGATCTACAGAGACTGTACTCAGCTGTGATGAGGCTGCACCTTGAATATTGTGTTCAGTTTTGGGCCCCTCACTACAAGAAAGACATGGAGGCTCTGGAGTGTGTCCAGAGAAGGGCAAGGAAACTGGTGAGGGGTCTGGAGCACAAGTCTTATGAGGAGCGGCTGAGGGAGCTGGGATTGTTCAGTCTGAAAAAGAGACTCAGAGGTGACCTTCCTGCTCTCTACATACCTAAAGGGAGTTTGTGGAGAGGTAGGGTTTGGCCTCTTCTCCCATGTAACTAACAATAGGACTAGAGGGAATGGCCTCAAGTTGCAGGAGGGATTCAGGCTGGGTATTAGGAAACAGTTCTCCTCAGAGAGGGTGGTCAGGCACTGGAATGGTCTGCCCAGGGAGGTGGTGGAGTCACCGACCCTGGAGGTGCTCAAGAACCATGTAGGTGTTGTACTGAGGAACACTGTTTAGTGGGAAATGTTGGTGATACGTAGATGGTTGGATTTGGATGATCTCGGAGACTTTTTCCAACCTTGCTAATTCTGTGATTCTGTGGAAGTGTGTCTGGAGAGCCTGGAATACCTGTGGGCCCTTAGTTATTCAAGAGTAATTTTCTGGATTGAATCTGCTGCTTAGATAACTGTCACACACTGTAGAAGTCTTTGCTTTTAGTCATTAAGTTCAGTCAATTTTAAAGATGAAAGAGAGGAAGCATTTAGAAAAGGTGGGATGCATGGACTTGAATCAGTAATCTCATTTGACTTGCAGGTCATAAATAAGAGTGTTCTCATGAACTTGCCCAAGTAAATATTCTCACCACATTTTAGTTAACCTGGAATTTTGCTGCTCTCTTGGTAGGATGCATCTGTAGTAGTAACTACAACAATGGCAAGGGAACATTCTTGTTTGCAAAAGCAGAATTGCAAAATCGATCTGTGGCAGTGCCGGCCAGCATCAGATAGCATTCTCCCAGCCAGCTCTTTGACAGAAACTGGGATGTTGGCATAACCAGGGATCACATCTGACACAGCTGGCATGGGACTTTCCTGGAGTGAACTTCTGTTGTAGTCACCTAGGAATGTTTGTGGACATTTTAAACTTACAGATATGAGGTTTTTAAGATGGAACATCATTATGTGTGTTTTAGATAAAAGGATGTATAGAGGAAAATGAAAATTGAGATTTTGCTGTATTCCTTATGTAGGAAAAAGAAAGGAAAGGTGTGAAATGCTGAAAGGAAAATTATTAAAACTCAGTTTTTAAATGTTTGAATATATTGTACCTCATCTTTGTTGCCATATATTCTGGCAAAGATGACCCCAGAGTAGGGGACATGTAGCTTGCATGAGCCATGGCTCTTCTTCCTTCCCTGATTTTACTAGTAAGATGCTGATTTGGAAATAAGAGGGAATAAGAACTTGGATACAGGAAAGCTTTCTTTCTAATTTTTCAGACAATGTAGCATATTTTCTCTTTTACACTCTAAGATATCTAAATAAGAAGGGCTCAAACAGAAAGTATCAAAATGTGTAACTCCTTTTAAGCCTGTCTTGAAGTCCTCTGGATATGTTCAGCTAATTTACTACTGCTAAGATAAACTCACAGATACAGCTACAGGATTTAGAGCTGCTGGGAGGAAAGAAAAAAAAGTGCTGGGGGAGGCTTCTTCTTTGGGAGCAAGTCTTCCAACATACCTCAACTTCAGTAATGAGAAAAAAGTATCCTGAAGGCTGGCTATGGAGCTACAGCTCAGTTTCAGCAGCGAGTCGTATACCCTGCGTAACTGTCCTGAAAGAACCTTTGCTCCAAGCATACTGGAGTTGTTTGAAGTAACATACGTGTTTCATATACGTATTATTATAAAATACGTAATATTATAAAATATACGTAATATTATAAAATAATATACGTCCACTGGTTCAGTGGACTTGATGTTCTGGATTGCAAGGTACAAAGGTTACCCAGCACTTCTTCAAAGAATTGCACTATAACACTAGATACTATCAACATCTGGCTTTAGTTGCTCAGTGAGTGGCTCAATCTAAACTCCAGCTACGCAAGAGAGAAACAGAACTTATTTTCAGTGCATTGCTGGATTAGTAAATAGGAGGGCAGGAAGACAGAGAAAAAGATGCAGTTAGACACAAACAGTATGTACCATATTTACAGAGAATTAGACAATTCTGAATTTATATGCCAAATCTGAAAAAATTAAAACCTGGCTTTTGACCAGGCTGCTTCCTGTGAAGTAGGGGAAGCAGAGATGCACCTGGTTCTGTCACTTTAAAAAAAAAAAATAAATGAAGTTTTAGCTGACTGTGAGGTTAATGTAAAGTGTTAAGTGCAATACTGAGTACAGTAAGTAAATGTAATTTCATGGAAATATAAGCTAGGATAGCACACTGTGTTTATTCTATAGTCCTGGTGCAAGTAACTTAAAGTATAACTTGTGTGATGCTTAAGAGACTGCTTAGGTAGGTATACACAAATGAGGAAAAGTGTAAACTTTTTTTAATATTTTAACAAGCAATCCTCCTTTCTGCAGAACTATTTCGTGTTACTGAAAATGTTTCTCATTTCACATAACTCATACTAAAGTTTGTTTGGCATATTTCTTCAGTATAAAAATAATAAAGGAAATCCACACGTTCACATTTATTTTTGTGGATATAATTACTAAAGCATTGTAAGTTTTGCCTCACCAGGTGCCATTTTCCACATGCTGCTCCGTTAAACATTCAAAGCATTTAATTCTATTAAAAACACAAGCTGCAGAAGAGGTTTGCTTTCTTTTGGCTGGTGTTGGATCTGTATGCTATAGCCAGTAACAATACTTTGTATTCCTATCAGATTCTCCTTCCCCTACTGCTGCAAGAACACTGACGCTGGTCGCCAAGTCTGTGCAGAACTTAGCAAATCTGGTTGAATTTGGAGCTAAGGTGAATATTATACACGCACACACACACCAACTAGGATTGTGTTGCTGCCATTTCCATATGCAGAGCTTGTCACCTGACATGTTTGTCCTCATCAGTTCTTGAAGCGTTATCCTAGTTCTTGAAGTGTTTTCTGTCTTTGGAACTGAACAGGGTATTGACCTGAAGTAGGGCAGTAGTAGTCTAGCTGCCTTGGGAAGAGAGGCCATACTGTTCTGGGAGAAAGAAACCTGTCTTAATGTGTGATGCCTCTACATACTGATGCTATGAGAACACAAGAAACTCAGCAGACATCTCTGTATATAGTAATTCATTTTCAAATTAAACTCTGAGGTTGGTGTAGAGCAGGAGCATCCAACCTTTTGGTTTGCCAGGTCTGCTTAGTTTTGAAAAAAAAAAACATGTCTTCACAGGCTCACACACAGGCATGTAGGTAGGCTGGAACATGACTGGCAGTCACTGCATGGTGCTTGCCAAATGGCACAACTGTATGTATCGTGTAAGGCTCTTGGGTTTCGATCTGACTGAGCGCTGTGGGCACAAGAGGCAGTTAGCACTGCTCTGTGCTCTCTCCTCCACTGTGTTCTGTTGTCACATATGCAGTCTGTGCCCAATCTACACACAGGAAAATATTGCTAAAAAACACACTTTTAAAATTTACAGTCTTGTAAATTTACAATCATATTTTATTATACTTTTTGAAAGTAGTATTTGTTTATTGAGGATAGTGTTGGAAGAACACGCATATTTCAGAAATTTTGGATTGCATGCCAGTATGTATTTTTATGAATGCATCTAATGAATGTATGAATAATTTAATGAAGACTTTTAAAAATTACTAGGAGCCATATATGGAAGGGGTAAATCCGTTCATCAAGAGCAACAAACACCGCATGATCATGTTCTTAGATGAACTTGGGGTAAGTGATTAAAGAATTCTTCATTGGAAGTTACATGCTACACCATAAATGAAAATTTCTTTACCCTTTTTATGAACTAGCTCAAAAACATATCAGCTCTTAGGTGATTTTTAATGCTTGTTACTGAATAAAATTTGTCTTCTGCATCTGTAAAACCTGCAGATCTGTGTCCTGTCACACAAAACTAAAACCATCAGATGTCATTCGACTGTATTCAATTAGCACCTTTATAGAAGTGAGAAGCTAAAATATCTACGTAAGAATTATATACTTTGGTCAAAACCTTTACAAATGTATCTTAAACCAAAAAATTCCTGCCTATAATCTGTTGTATAGCTTTTACCGAAGATTTAAATTTCTCTTCAAACAATATGCTGCATTTCAGTTAACCATTTCCAGATGTCTGCTAGCACACGAGATATTGCAGTCTAGAACAAGAACTGCTCTATTACAAAACTCTGTTTTGTGTATGACAGCTGTAAAAGGAATTAGAAGCTCATGGGTAGATCTTTTGAAACGAATGTTTATTTTATAAATGAAGATGAAGGATATGTGCCTACCCTCCTGAACTGATTCATTTAAAGTGACTTAAAGGATGTCCTAGAATGTTTTGATTAGACTCAAAAATGAATATTCTTTTCTGGCACTCAGTAGGTTGCTGTATGTCACCTCTTCTGGTTCAACTTTAGTTTCTGTGTGAAATTATGTGTCAGTTTTCTTTAAATTAGTTTGTATGAGGTCATAACAACTGGTTTGAGAATAATGGTTGGATTAATCTGTTTTAATTACAGTGTTACTGTTTTATGATTGGTTTAACAAGTCTGTTACTTGACATTACAGACTTTGCTCTATTTTTTGCTGCTGATGTTCTTTTATTTAAATTGAAAAGGGCACACAATAGATGGATTATCTCCTTATTTACTGGGAGGTTGAATCTTTATCCTTAATAGTTTTCTTCACTTAGTGGTAGTGTAGCAAAATGAGATTTTTTTTTATTGAGCTATTCTAGCAGGAATAGAAATTGCTTATATTGGAGAGGAAGAAACAGAAAACATGGGTAGAAGAATTAGCTCAGGAGACTTAACAGTGCCGTACTACTTTGCAGTGTAAAACAACTGAATTGACACACCTGTACAGCAGTAGCATAATTTCCTGTATATCCAAGTATTCACCACCCTTGAATCTGCTCTCATTGCTTTTCTTCAAGAATGTCCCTGAGCTTCCAGACACTACAGAGCACTCTCGAACTGACCTATCTCGTGATCTGGCAGCCCTGCATGAGATCTGCGTGGCACACTCAGATGAACTTCGGACACTCAGTAATGAGAGAGGTGTAATGCAGGTAAGTTAGAAAGCTTAACAGTCAAATCAGAGGTACAAACAGCATATCTCAAGTTATTCTGCAATGTTGGGATTCTTTTGCAGTACTTCTGAAGAGCATTATACCTGGTAAACATCTCAAAATGTGCTTATCACCAGGAGTTTATTAGCTATAAAGGCCAAACAGCCCATAGTTGTGAGCTGCTGCTTCATGCAAATAAAAACAAGGATGTTTTTTCACAGTTATGGTGAAAGTTCTTAATTTCTAGAGGAAGGCTTAAGTCCACAAAATTCATGACAGGTTCTCTAGATTTTTGGTTTAATGGTCTTACCTGTTTCCAGCTGGATGGAATTTGCTTTCCTTAGCTTTCTATGGCTGCCTTCCCAGTTTTCTAGTACATCGATAAACATGGCAAACTTTTCTATCGAACCCACTGTGAACCATTATTAGTCTGCCAGCTGTTAAGCAGGGCTACTGTAAGTAGCTAAACCTACAGACTAATTTGTAACAAATAGCTTTATAAAACATAAAAAGGAATAACTTCAAGTTACTTCTGTAGACTTTTGAGATAATGTATTTAGTAATACGCCGCCTTTTCATCTGTTAATTACAGTGAACCTCAAGTAAGGATTTCTTGTTACTGCACGAGTAATGTTTAGTATGTGGTGCTGTGCAGGAAATGGCTTTTTTTTGTTTTTCAGGGCAGGGACAGCTGCTGTAGGTGAAGATTTGGAGATTGATAATTAATTCCACTGCTTCTAAATACTCTCTCATAATTACCTTTTTAAAAAATTATTTTCAAGGCCTTAACTTAAACTCCTAAATCTGTATGGCGGATTCATGTGCTTGTACAAACGAGTATTGTTTCGTTCACAAACCCTCTCATGGAATACTATAAGTTTAAAAAAAAAAATCAAAGTAGATCTTTAGAAAAATCTAATATACAAGATGATGAAAGATGTAGTTCTGTTTGTGTCATGCAAAAAATTAACTTTCTACATCAAAGGACAAATTTATTCTCATGGGTTTCTTCTTTGGCAAAATTCCCTTCTCTTTTTTTCATCGATGCCCTAATGATTCATGGTCACCCTATCTTAGTTAAAAACAATTCTACCATAGTGGGTGCAAGAAAGAAAATAGTCTGAATATCCAACAGTACGTTGGCAGTGCATTTTCTTAGCCTCTGGTAAACCAGAAAGTAATAAGATCAGTGCACACAATGATTAGATTTCACAGTGTTGTTTTCAAGTTCATTTTTGAAATAAATAATGTCTTATTAATTAGGGAATTGGTGCTGTTGAAAATGCATATCAAGACTTTTTTTCTAGTTGCTAATAATGTCTTGTTGTACCAATTCTTTTTCTACAGCATGTTCTTAAGAAGCTGTTGGCTATTACAGAACTGCTTCAACAAAAACAGAATCAGTATTCAGTGTCTAATAACATCAGGTAGCAGCCCTCTACCTGAATTCTGCATGGATCCAGCATGCCCGACATGGCAACTCACACCAGTATCACTTTCTTCTTGCTCTTGCCAAAAATAGCACACCCTGTCACATTCCCAGTGATGTGTGAACTATGCAAAAAGAAAACAAAGATTCTGTTGGTGAATGATTGTACCAGCAGCTTTTTAAGCTATCTGTGCAGGATGTTTGCACTTTTTTTCCACTTGGAAAGAGTTTTCACAACCTCTGAGCCTTGGTGTACAATTCACCTTCTGCAAAGAAAATGCTGTGACTGTGTCTTGAACTTTGAAAATTACTTTCAACACCTCTAATTGCCAAAGTTTGCTGTCTTGTTGGAAAATATATCAACATACAAGGAAAGAAATGTTTTGTCTTGACAGCTACATATAACTGGATAACATTTCTTACTGTAATTTCTGACTGGTTACAATAATTATGACTTCTGACTGTTTCAACCACTTTAACTTGTATTTACAGTTTTCAGAATTTGATGTTATGGTAGAAACAATCTTTACTGTACACTTTTATACCATACTGTTTCTCTTGCTGGAATCATGTTGAAAGAGAATATGCAGAATGGATCTCATCAGCTTTATTTTTTGATGTGCCACTGATTCAGTCTGAAATAGTTCTTCCATCAAGGACTGTATATCCAGATAAATCACAATGCTTTTGTAAAATGTTTACAACAGTAAATAATTTGAATTCAGTAAATTTATTGATCATTGTATCAGACATGCATGCATTCATTAAACCATTTTATAAAATATGTATTGGTTGGTCTCTTGTGTACTGTAAGTCTACCATGAATCTTATTTTTATACATGAAAAGTAAGTTTTGGAAATAAATCAAGCTCCAGATCAACTCTATGAAAACTGGCTAACTTTGGCTGCTGTGGGATTTTTTTTCTCCTGTCTGCACACATGATTATACTTTGTACTTTACAGTGTACCTACTGTCTTTAGTTTTGTGGCATCACTTTAGTGTTTACTATGAATCCGCAGAACAGTGCTACCATACTGGTATGCAGTGTAACACACAGAAGCTAGGAGTTTGAGTAAGGGAGGGGAAAAATACTCAGTATGTACCTTTGTGGGTGCTCAGAGTGTGTTTCTACATTCCTCATTCACAGCAACTCTTGGGACTGATGTGATAAGGAGTAAAAGGATGCTGAGAGTCACTGACAAGACTAATGAGATAATCACATAAATAATTCTTGTGTAATACAAATGCAGCTGTTAAGGTATTACACAGCATTTCCCGTCTGTTAAGCATTTTGCTTTTACTTTCACTCTTATGTGAAAGGACTTCATCTGAGTCTCTGCTGTGACACTTCCTTACATGTTCTCACAATCTCCAATTGCTTTCCAGCTGCCTGCCAGCCTTACCTCAGAGCAGGCAATCTTGAGTGCCATCACACAGCATGTGTGGACAACTGGGCATCAGGCCCAGCTCGCATGGCTTCATGAAAGGCAGGTTCTGCTTGCCAAACCTGATCACCTTCTATAACTGAATGACCCATCTGGTGAATAAGGGAAAGGCTGTTGATGTGGTCTACCCAGACTTCAGCAAAGCCTTTGATGCTGTCTCCTGCAGTATTCTCCTGGAGAAGCTGACAGCCTGTGTCTTGGACAGATACACCCTGAGCCTTACACAGAACTGGCTGGATGGCTGGGCCCAGAGAGCAATGGTGAATGGAATTAAATCCAGTTAGAGACCGGTCACAAGTGATGCTTCCCAGGGATCAGAATTGGGGCCTGTCCTGTTTAAAATCTTTATTGAGATGAGCCAGCAGTGTGCCCTTGTGGCCAAGAGGGCCAACGGCATCCTGGGGTACATTAAAAAGAGCGTGGCCAGCAGGTCGAGGGAGGTGATCCTCCCCCTCTACTCTGCCCTGGTGAGGCCTCATCTGCAGTACTGCATCCAGTTCTGGGCTCCCCAGTACAAAAAAGACAGGGATCTCTAGGAAAGAGTCCAGCGGAGGGCCACAAAGATGGTGAAGGGCCTGGAGCATCTCTGCTATGAAGAAAGGCTGAGAGAACTGGGTCTGTTCAGCCTTGAGAAAAGAAGACTGAGAGGGGACCTGATCCAGGTCTATAAATATCTAAGGTGTGGGGGCAGAATGGCGAGGCCGGACTCTTTTCAGTGGTGAGTGGAGACAGGACAAGGGGAAACGGCCGGAAACTGCAGCACAGGAAGTTCTGCACAAATGTGGCAAGAACTTCTTTACAGTGAGGTGACGGAGCACTGGAACAGGCTGCCCGGGGAGGTGGTGGAGTCTCCTTCTCTGGAGATGTTCAAGACCTGCCTGGATGCCGACCTGTGCGACCTGCTGTAGGGAACCTGCTTTGGCAGGGGGTTGGACTCGATGAGCTCTGGAGGTCCCTTCCAGCCCCTTCAATTCTGTGATTCTGTGATTGATGACCTGAATGAGGGACTGAGTGCATCCTTCATATGTTTGCAGATGACACCAAGTAGGAGTAGAGTAGGAAGTCCCTCTGTAGCAATGTGGACAGGCTGGATTGATGGGCTGTGGCCAGCTCTAAGAGGTTCAACAAGACCAACTATTGCTTTGGTCACAACAGCCCCATGCAAAGCCACAGGCTTAGGGCAGAGTGGCTGGAAAACTGTAGAGTGGAAAAGAATCTGGGAGTGCTGACAGCCAGCTGAATGCAAGCCAGCAGTGCCCAGACAGCCAAAAAGGCCAGCAGCATCCTGGCTTGTATCAGAAATTGTAGCTAGCAGGATTGTAGCTAGCAGGAGGTGATTATTACCCATACTCAGCACTGATGAGGCTGCAACTCAAGTACTGTGTTCTTGAGTTTTGGACCCCTCACTACAAGAAAGACACTGAGGCAATGAGTATGCCCAAGAAAGGGCAACAGAGCTGGCAAAGGGTCAGGAGCACAAGTCTCAGAACACAGTAAGGTCTGGTCAAGTCCATTTTAAATTGCAGCTCATAGGAAAAATGAAGTAACAATACTGTTTTCTTCACTACCAGGCTTGCCTGCTTATGTAACACAGCGAGGTAATTAATTAAAATACAGAAATCACAGGGCCAGTTTATAACTTCCCTTTTTTTAGTGCTCTGCTAGCAGGTTACAGCTAGTTCAGAACATATTAAGGATGGCCCATTAAAAGGTGTTTCAGTTAAATCACTCTTCCCTTAGCTGCTAGGTACTATGTAAATGGTGAGGCCTCCTGAGGTGAAACTATGATAGGCTGAGCAGTCAAGGAAGAAAAGCAGCTTTGCCACTGTTAATGATGACTTATGAAAAGCATACTGTCTAGAATAGGTCATTTTTAAAATGTGGTTGGCTGGGTATCATCAGTATAACACAGCAAAAAAATAAAACAACTCTGAAGAACAAATTTGCATCTGCTTATATAAAATAATAATAATGAAAAAAAAACAATGATGAAAATAAATCTAGAACACTTGAGAAGAGCTTCTCAAATGCAAAAAAATGTTATGAGCAAGGTTATATTCTTCTAGCAGTTTCACTGGCAAACCTGGGCAGAGGACAGCAGCACATCTTGCTCTTAAGTACTTAAGGATTTATTAGCAGATCTGTGTTGTCCATGTATTTAATCACTTTGCTAAATGCCAGAATTGACGTTAGGTACTGCTGTGCTGTAAGCCAATTCTTAAGTTGCACCTGAAGGTGCTGCTAAACCAAAACTTGAATACTTCTTACTGACCTTGGATGGTGAGATGTTTTAAAATAGAGCTACAATTAACTAACATTTAAAATAAAGGTTTTATTGCAAAGAAATTAAAAAGCGATGTAAAAAAATACCTCCTGCTTCAGTCTACAGAACCTTCAATAAGCAGGTTCACGTGTGCCACAGAACAGTAAGCAAAGGAATAGGCTTCACAAGTCCCCAAGGTCTTCATCAGTCCATTCTTCCTAAGGAAAGGAAAACAAGTGTCATTTTACAGTAAGGTGACCAAGCAATACAAAACTGTGCACATGATAGTGCTGCGTGTAGTAATATCTTTTATATACATGTTGCTTAAAGAGAGTTCAAGTAATACAACCAACTTCACACTAATCTCTACACTGTGCCTATTGCAAGTAAATGACTTAAACAGCAAGTTTAAACTGATAAAACACATGCTTTATCTTCTTGAGGGATGCCCTTCTGCCAAAATGCTGGTGCAAAAGAAGCACATTAATGATTGACAATACCTTTCTTGCATACTGACAATCTTCTTGCTCCTGACAACCAGCAAGAAACACTGTCATTCCTACCTAATATGTAAGACCAGGCTCCAAACAGAAATACAAATTTTTTCAAGTCCTACACCAAATGTATATGGACAGCTCTGAAAATAATGCCTCCCATTTATTTCCATGGAAACTACAGAAGATACAAAGAGCACACAATAATGCTGTTTGATAGAGAAAATTCTGATACAAAACACTACTTTTTAAACACAGTCACCACCATAAGCTGTGCATTTCCAAGAGCAAAAAACAAGAGCATGCCACACTTGTAACTGTTTTGCAAGCAGGTATTCCACTTGGGCTCTGCATCACGCACTGGCCACACAGGTACAGTGTGCAGGTGGAAAAAAAGCCCTGCAGAGCCTGAGGAGAATTAAAAGCAGGAGAGAGGCTGCAGCAGGGCAGAGAGAAGTGCACCTTGAAGCAGGGGACGCCTGGCTGGCACCACCTATTGAGTGTACCACCAGCATGTTCCTTCTCTCTCCTTTCAGCATTTTGCCATCTCTCAAGGGTCAGCAAGTATAGTGAGTACACTTGCTTAGGGAGTTTCTGCTTCCTGCTTATGGGCATTATCTAAAATGGATGCCTGTGTGTATGAGTCTGTGCATGTCGAATAAAACCTATAACCCTCTGTGCTGCTCTAAGTGCAGTTTGCTTCCATCTGCTCCTGAGACATCCCATCTCGCAGATCTAAATGTACCCTGAAAGAGCCTTCAACAAGTTCATTATCCATCCAAAAATCCACCCTTCAAATCTGTATCTTTCCAATTTAGAAATAAGAATGAACTGTGGGATGATGTCAGACTTTCCAGAAGTGCAGGTAGAGGACACCAGTTGCCCTTCATCTACTCATAACATCACTCCCACCACAGAAGGCCACTGGAATGGACTACTCATCTGGAGTACCACACGTCCAGGCCTGGGAAACTGAGCACAAGAAAGGCTGGAGCACCTCTCCTACAAAGACAGGCTAAAGAGCTAGGCAAGTCCAGCCTAGAGAAAAGATGACACTGGGGAGACCTCATCATGGCTTTCCAGTACTTTAATTATTACAGTAATTCAATTATAATTAGCTTATAATCATGAGGGAGACAGACTTTAAGTGGTCTGGTAGTGACAGAACAAGAGGAAATGGTTTACAAATAAAAGAAGGGAGATTTACACTAGATGTTTAAAAAACTTTAAAAATATTCTGAGCAACTTTTGTAATGCGAGAGGGAGAAGTTTGTCTCAACAATGTGTGGGTTTTGCCAGTTACTACTGAGTGGAAAAGTAATGTCTTGTACATTAACTGACCTCATCCATTTTAGGCTTTTTTGAGTTATATTCATCATCTTCACCAATTTTCCTCTTCTTCCTAAGCCCCAAATAGGAAAAAACAAGTTTTAGAGTCAGACTCATTATCTGGTACAGTATTTTAGATTAGTTTATGAACAAATCTGTCACATTAAAAAAAAAAAAAAAAAAAAAAAAAGCTATCAAAATTCAAAAATAGCAGCCTACTATAAGTTCACAGTGGGTACTAAAATGAAAAGGGCAG